AAGCGCGCGGCCACATTTGTGGCCGCACGACATCTTATCATCTCATTCCTACTTTGACAAACTGGCAGGCTACCGAATGCAACCTGCCCACACGGCAGAATCTGGCAGACTCCCCGTGGCGTTCCCAATATGCCAAATACCAGTAACAGTGAAGGGTCTCATTCTCCTAACTCTGAAAGAGCCTTGAATATGGCACTTTAAAAAAAAATCTCAGGGCTAGGACGAAGGAGACGTTACTGGGGCCTGCTCGAGGCAATCGAGGAATAACAGGACGGTTGTGATTGTGATTGATTGGGGTGGGGTCACGACTGGCAATGTCCGGGGACTACTTCTGGCTTTCTCCTTGGGGGTTGATCTCAGTGCTGGACAATGTTTTTGGTTTTTGTTTTGTTTCGTTTTGTTTTGTTCTGCTTGGCTATTTTTGGGTCACACCCGGTGATGCTCAGGGGTTCCTCCTGGCTCTGCCCTCAGGAATTACCCCTGGCAGTGCTCAGGGGACCATATGGGATGCTGGGAATCGAACCCGGGTCAGCAGCATGCAAGGCAAATGCCCTACCCCCTGTGCTATGTATGGCTCCAGCCCCAGTGGGGGACAACGTTGTAGTGGAAATTGAACTTGGGGGGCTGGGCATCGCCAGGTGTGACCCAAAAAGCAAAAAGCATGCAGGGCCGCAGCAGTAATACAGCAAGTAGTAGGATATTTGCCTTAGACACAGCTGACCCAGGTTCGGTCCACGGCATCTCAGAGGGTCCCCCTGAACCTCTGACAACAGATCCAGGAGTCCATCCTGAGCACTGCCAGGTGTGGCCCAAATACAAACAAAATATTAAATAAAGGTAATTTTTTTAAGTGCATACTAGGGTAAGAGCAATAAACCAGTGGGTAAGGCTTTTGCCTTGTATGCAGCCAACCTGGGTTCAACCCCCAACGTCCCATAGGGTCCCCAGAGCACCGGAGGGTGTGACCCCAAGATCAAACTATAGAAAGATTTGGGCTGGAGTGATAGCACAGCGGGGAGAACATTTGCGTTGCACGCGGCCGATCCAAGTTCGATTCCCAGCATCCCATAGGGTCCCCCGAGCACCACCAAGAGTAATTCCTGAGTGCAGAGCTAGGAGTCACCCCTGTGCATCGCCGGGTGTGACCCAAAAAGCGATAAAAAAAAAAAGATTAAAAAGTGCATGTCTTGGGGCTGGAGCAATAGCAGAGCGGGTAGGGCATTTGCCTTGCACGCGGCCGACCCGGGTTCAATTCCCAGCATCCCATAGGGTCTCCTGAACACCGCCAGGAGTAACGCCTGAGTGCATGAGCCAGGAGTGAGCCCTGTGCATCGCTGGGTGTGATTCAAAAAGCAAAAAAAGGACTGTATTTCTCTTAGAGGAGGGAAGATGAGGGCAGGTCGAGGCAGACTGACGTCATAGGCGATGAGCTGGGTGGCCCCAGGGAAGAGTCCAGGAGCTGACCACAGCTGCAGCGGCATAGGTGGCCCTGGGATGGGGCAGCAGAAGGCAGCGGCTTCTGGAGGGATTCGCTTTGCCGCCAGGAGTGGAGCAGAAGAAACCGGCCTGGGCCGAACCCCCGCAGACTGCTGCCACTTCTTTGTTTTCTGCTTGGAGACGCTCAGCGACTGCTGTGGGGTTCCTGCCAACGGTCCCCACAGACCCTGGGACTCCTGCATGCAGAGCGTGTGCCCTTTTTTCTTTTCTTTTGCTCTTTGGGTCACACCTGGCGATGCTCAGGGGTTACTCCTGGCTCTGCACTCAGGAATTGCTCCTGGTGGTGCTCATAGGAATTACTCCTATGGGATGCTGGGAATTGAACCTGGGTTGGCCACGTGCAAGGCAAACGCCCTACCCGCTGTGCTATAGCTCCAGCCCTTTTTTTTGGGGGGGGGGGTCACACCTGGCAACGCACAGGGGTTCCTCCTGGCTCATGCACTCAGGAATTACTCCTGGCGGTGCTTAGGGGACCCTATGGGATGCTGGGAATCGAACCTGGGTCGGCCACGTGCAAGGCAAACGCCCTACCCACTGTGCTATCGAACCAGCCCCCCCCCTTTTTTCTTTCTTTTTTGCTCTTTGGGTCACACCCAGCGCTGCACAGGGGTTACTCCTGGCTCATGCACTCAGGAATTACTCCTGACGGTGCTCGGGGGACCCTATGGGATGCTGGGAATCGAACTTGGGTTTGTCGCATGCAAGGCAAACGCCTTACCCACGGTGCTATCGCTCCAGCCCCCTTTGAGCCGTGCCAGGAGCAGATATAAGCACACGGCAACCTGGCAAAATGGAGCGAGAGCAATAGCACAGCTGGGAGGGCTCTTGCCTTGCATGGGGCCCACCTGGGGTCAACCCCCTGGCATCCCAGAGGGTCCCCCGAGTCCCACCAGGAATGATCCCTGAGCACAGAGCCAGGAGTCAGCCCTGAGCACGTGTGGCCCCAAAACAAACAAAGCAGAGTGACTTTGCCTGGAGGGCCTGTGAAAACCCAGAATCTAGGGGTGCTTCACGCGTGTGTTTGAGAGACCCCACGTGTCGTCTCCTCCACCCGCCACGACCTCCTTATGGCCAGCCTGGAAATAGGGGTGCATACAGCAGGCGCTTACTCAGTGCGCCTCGGCCACTGCCATCTGTGGGTGCTGCCGAGGAGAAGGGGGGTGGCCCAGGAAGTCCTCCACAGCCCTGGGAGCTGCACCGTTGTCCTGCTGGAGGTGGGGACACTTCCTGGCCTATGACCACACACTGGTGGGGGGGTCACCCTGGGACACCCCGCGCCCCCCTCCTGTTCTCAGATCCGTTGGCTCTTTCCCCTCCCGCCCTGGTCCGTTGCTTCTTGCAACAGCCTTGACCCTGGACCAGGCAGGCCGTTGGGGCTGGAGGAGCCTGGAGGTGACGGGAAGAGGAACCAGCCTGGGGGTGGTGGCAGTTGGGAGACCCCCAGCATCGCCAGGGGTGGCCATGGTGGGCCCTGAGCACTGCCAGGTGTGGCTGCAATTTTAAAAACCTTAAAAGGGGCTGGAGCGATAGCACAGCGGGGAGGGCGTTTGCCTTGCTCGCAGCTGACCCGGGTTCGATTCCCAGCACCCCATATGGTCCCCTGAGCACCGCCAGGAGCAATTCCTGAGTGCATGAGCCAGGAGTAACCCCCCTGAGCAACGCTGGGTGTGACCCAAAAAGCAAAAAAATAAAATAAAATAAAATAAAAACCTAAAAACCTCTAGAGAGGCTGGAGTGATAGGACAGTGGGGAGGACGTTTGTTTTGCGGGTGGCCGACCAGTTTGATCCCCCGCGGTCCCCCAAACACCGCCAAGAGTAATTTCTGAATGCAGAACCAGGAATGACCCCTGGGCACTGTCAGGCGTGGCCTCCAAACAAACAAAAAGTGGAACTGTCTGAGGTGAGGGGCACAAGTCCTTTCCCCAGGTGGGAAGGGTGTTCGGGTGTGTGCAGAGAGGCCAGGAGGGAGCAGGGAGGAGTGGGGTGCACGTCCTTGTGCCTGTGTGCATGGTGAGGGTACACGGGCGTTGTGTGAGCGCATAAAGTGGCCTCTCTGTGCTTGTTTGGGCTTGCAAGTGAGTGCAGTGTGGGGTGTGTGTGTGTGAGTGTGCCTGTGTGGATGGTATGTGCACGTGTGAGTGTGTGCATGTGTACATAAGTGTGTGCGATTGTGAACACATGTGTATGCATGTTACATAAGCGTGTGCGTGCACTTGTGTGATTTGTACGTGTGTGTGAACACTGTGTGTTGTAGGGATGAGTGCATATACATAATTGTGTGCAAGGTATGTGCATATATGCATGTGTGTGTACATTAAGTGTGTGTGTGTTCATGCTCATTGTATGTTTTCCAGAAGCTTCTGGCCAGCAGCCGTGCAAGGCCCGTGCTCTGCCACCCGAGCCCCAGCCCCAGTCCCAGGCCTGTTTCCGTTTTGCCTAGCTAGGTGGCTACGGAAGCAGCTCGGGGGTCTAATTCATATTATTCTGGTTATTAAGGAAATTGCATATTGTTATTGTTGAATTGGGGTTGAAAATTCTGGAATCTAGAATTATTGAGATCCCTGGCAAGCTACCAGTGGTGTGTTCCATACGCCAAACACAGTAACAACAAGTCTCACAATTTGTTGTGAGACGTTACTGGTGCCCGCTCGAGCAAATCGATGAACAATGGGAGGACAGTGCAGTGCTGGCCAGCAGAGACCCACTGGCCGAGCCTAGGAGGGAGCTGCCAGTCATGAGCAGCAACCAAAGGCTACAGGAAGCCTCCGACTGGGGGGAGGTCTCAGCCCACCTGTTACTGTCACCTGGGCTCTGACCCCAGGCCCGCACTCCCACCAGGCCGCAGGTGGGCAATTCTGAGCCTCAGTTTCCACCCTGCCCCTGTGCAATACCAGAGCCCTGTCCCAGCCATGACTAGGAGGCTCTGTGCTCAGGGCTCACCCTTGGTCTAGTGCTCAGGTAGGACTCCTGGCTCTGTGCTCAGGGATGACTCCTGATCCAGTGTTCAGGGATCACTCCTGGCTCTGTACTCAGGCCTTACTCCTGGTTCTGTGCTCATGGATGACTCCTGGCTCTGTGCTCATGGATGACTCCCGGTCCAGGGCTCAGGGATGACTCCTGGCTCTGTACTCAGGTGGGGCACAGGGGATCAGGAAACCAAACTGGGGTTGGCCATGTGCAAGGCAAACGCCTCACTCACTGTTTTATCTCTCTTCATCCACCTGCAAAAAAAGTACTCCACCTAGTCAGGTGGGATGAGGGGGTGGGAAGGGCCGGGGGACACTTAGGGTAGGGAAGGCGGCTGTTCTGCTCCCAATGACCCAGATATCTGTCCGTATCCTCTTCACCCCTCACCCCTCACCCCTTCCTGCTGGTCTCCAGGAGAAGGGAAGTGGGGACTTCATCCTCGCTGTGGGGCAACCCCAACGGCCTCCATGTCCCGGGCCTATAAAAAGGCCGGGTGGGCACGGGGGGGGGCAGAGACTCAGGATCCCCCTATCAGACCATGACCTGCAGCCGCCGACCCCCGAGCCCAGCCCTTGCGCCCCTCTTGCTGGCTGTGCTGGCCGGTGAGTGGGGACCCCAGTCTCTCTGTCTGTCCTGGGTGTCTGTCCGTCACTCTCTGCTGGGCTCCCCTCTTTCTCTCTGGCCCCTCATCCTCTGGGACTTGATGGTCCCATTTCTCGAAGAAGAGACTGAGGTTCTGAGTGGAGCCCCAAGCCTGGGTCTAAAAGTGGGAAATGGGGCAAGGGGAAGTGAGGTGGAGTTGGGGCTGGGGTGATAGCACAGCGGGTAAGGCGTTTGCCTTGCACGCGGCCGACCCGGGTTCGATTCCCAGCATCCCATAGGGTCCCCCCGAGCACCGCCAGGAGTAATTCCTGAGTGAAGAGCATCGCCGGGTGTGACCCAAAAAGAAAAAAAAAGTGAGGTGAACTCTGGGGGAGTAATTGTGTGTGTGTGGGGGGGCACATACTTTCTGCTGCTTGCATCTCATTTATTTATTTATTTATTTTTCTTTTGGGGTCACACCTGGCAATGCACAGGGGTTAACTCCTGGCTCTGCATTCAGGAATTACCTGTTGCTCAGGGGACCATATGGGATGCTGGGAATCGAACCCAGGTCGGCCGCGTGCAAGGCAAATGCCCTACCTGCTGTGCTATCTCTCCAGCCCCCATCATTTTAATTTTCATCTGGGCAGGCGACACCAGTGGGGAGAGCCCTGAGCTCCCAGGTTCCTTGCGGGAGGTCAGGAAGTGCTGGTTCAAGAACCCCTTAGCTCCCAGCGTCCCAGAGGGAGTTCAGGTCTGGCTGGCTCAAGGCCTCCCCATGTGCCTACCTTCTCTGCCCCCCTCAGGTCCTGCTCTGGCCTCAGAGATCGTGGGGGGTCGTGCAGCTCGGCCCCACGCATGGCCCTTCATGGCGTCCCTGCAGCGGAATGGTGGCCACTTCTGTGGTGCCACCCTCATCGCCCGGAACTTCGTCATGTCAGCCGCACACTGTGTGAATGGCTTGTAAGCTGGGGCTTACCGGGGGTGGGAAGCGGGGTGCCCTGCCGTGGGCCCCCATGAAGAGGGGAACTTTCCCTGTTGAGCCCACTGGGATGGGAGAACATGGGTTTGGGGATGTCACACCTTGGTGTGTCCTGGAATCACCTGTGTGGGTGCTCGCGTGCGTGCGCGCACACACACACACACACACACACACACACACACACACACACACCCCATGCGCGCCTCCCTCCTACCCCCAGGAACTACCAGTCGGTCCAGGTGGTCCTCGGGGCACATAACCTGATGCGGCGGGAGCCCACGCGGCAGACGTTTCGGGTGCAAAGGGTCTTTGAGAACGGCTACAACCCCAACAACTTGCAGAACGACATTGTCATTCTCCAGGTGACTGGGGGGGAGGGGGCAAGAGGGGTGTGGGAGGAGGGAGTGCAGGACACGGCAGGGACAGCCCCCCAACTGTGTAAATTGGATATAAGTCCCCCAGAATCCTTCCATTGTTTCCATTGCCACTAAATGGGTTGCCCATTCTCTGGGAAGTTTCTAGAAGGAAGGTTTATAATATATAAATAAATTCGCGGTCGCGCGACATCTTATTATCTAGTTCTTACTCTGGAGGACATGGCAGGCTACCAAAAGTATCCTGCTCACACGGCAGAGTCTGGCAAACTCCCCGTGGTGTGTTCAATATGCCAAAAACCAGTAACAATGATGGGTCTCATTCTCCTGACCCTGAAAGAGCCTCGAATGTGGCATTTTCTAAAATCTCAGGGCTAGGGTGAAGGAGACGTTACAGGTGCCTGCTCGAGGAAATCGATGAACAACAGGATGACACTGAAATAAATATTTATGTATAATATCACTGTCACCATCACTGTCCTCCCGTTGTTCATCGATTTGCTCGAGCGGGCCCAGTAACGTCTCCATTGTGACACTTGTTACTGTGTTTGGCATATCGAATACGTCACGGGGAGCTTGCCAGGCTTTGCCATGCGGGCGAGAGACTCTCTCTCCGAGAGGGGTGGAGGAATCAAACCCTGGTCGGCCACGTGCAAGGCAAAAGCCCTACCCGCTGTGCTATCGCTCCAGCCCATGATATATACATATATTTTATATATAAATATATTTGTTTTGTTTATTTGGGGACCATACCCAGAGGTGCTTAAGAGTTCCTTGTGACTCTGCACTCAGAGGTCACTCCTGGCGGCGCTCGAGGGGACACTATGGGATGCCAGGTTTCGACCCTGATGTGCCATATGCCAAAACCAGCGTCCCTCTCTGCTGTGCCGTTGCTGGGGCCTCTCCATGGGAGCTTTTTTTTGGGGGGGAGTGGGGGTCCCACCTGGTGATGCTCAGGGGTTACTCCTGGCTCATGCACTCAGGAATTACTCCTGATGCTGCTCAGGGGACCCTATGGGATGCTGGGAATCGAACCCGGGTCAGCTGCCTGCAAGGCAAATGCCCTAACTGCTGTGCTATCATTCCAGACCCTCCACGGGAACTTTCTATAACCGGTGCATGAGGGTTGTTTCCGGTTATGAAAGACCCCCCCCCAGAAGCACAGTGACAGGGAAGCTGGTGGGGAAACTGAGGCAGATGACTGACCCTCCTTCGCTCTCCATCCGCCTCCCTCCCTCCACCCCCAGCTCGACCGGTCAGCTACCCTCAACAGCAACGTGCAGGTCGCCCGGCTGCCAGCCCAGGGCCAGGGCCCCCGGGACGGGGCGCGCTGCCTGGCCATGGGCTGGGGTCGCCTGGGCACCAACCAGCCCACGCCCAGCGTCCTGCAGGAGCTCAATGTGACCGTGGTGACGACCCAGTGCCGCCGGAGCAACGTGTGCACGCTGGTGCGACGCCGGAGGGCGGGCATCTGCTTCGTACGTAGCCCAAGTCCCAGACCCCCAGCCCTGCGCGGAGTATTCTTGTTTTGGGGGAGGGGCCGGGGGACTGGGCCATACCCGGCGATGCTCAGGGGTTACGCCTGCCAGTGCTCGGGGCACCCGATGGGGAGCCGGGGATCGAACCCGGGTCCGCCGCGTGCCAGGCAAACGCCCTCCTCGCTGTCCTGTCGTATGAGGATTCTTGTTCCTGGTGGAGAGCGGGGATCCCCCCGGCCCCCCCAAGCCCAGAGTTCTGCCTTCCTCCCCGTAGGGGGACTCCGGGGGACCCTTGGTGTGCAACGGGCTCATTCAGGGCATAGATTCCTTCATCAGAGGCGGCTGCGGTTCCGGATTCTACCCCGACGCCTTTGCCCCGGTGGCCCAATTTGCCGACTGGATCAACTCCGTTATCCGCCGCGGGGACCTGCCCCCTGCCCACCCCAGCGACCCCACGACCAGGATCCCCTAGAAGGGAGGGACTGGGCCCCCCCCCGCGCCTGTCCCCCTCCCTGTCCAGCCCCACGCCTTCACCCAATAAAAAAAACTTTCTTTACTTTGGTGTTTTTTTTTTGGGGGGGGGTGTCACACCCAGAGTTGCACAGGGCTTACTCCTGGCTCATGCACTCAGGAATTACTCCTGGCGGAGTTCAGGGGACCACATGGGATGCTGGGAATCGAACCCGGGTCGGAGCGTGCAAGGCAAACGCCCTCCCCTCTGTGATATCGCTCCAGCCCCCAATCTTTCTCTATTTTGGACAGGGGTTCCGCGTGCCTGTCGGCTGCCCTGTGGCAAACTGAAGGGAGTTAGACGGTCCTGGGGGGCCCGGAGCAGTAGTATAGAAGGTACAGAAGGGACCCTGGCATCCGAGAGGGTTCCCCTGAGCACTGCTAGGAAGGAGAGTCCCAAGCGAGAGCCAGGAGTCAGCCCTGAGCACGGCCAGGTGTGGCCCCTGCAAAAAAAAGAATGAAAGAAAGTCTTTGCTGTTTCTGATCAGATAAGGAGTGTCAGATGTTTCCCAAGGGCCAGCCCTGAGAGAAGTAGAGGTACTATTGTTGTGCCGTAGTACAATAACGGCCGGAGGGGGTTCGATCCCCAGCATCCCAGAGAATCTCCTGAGCACCGACAGGAGTGATCCCTGAGCACAGCCGGGAGTGGCCCCCCAAACCAAAAGAAAATACAATTAAATAAAGTTAAGTAAAATAGTTTTTCAACGAAAATCTCGAGCATGTTGCGAGTCAAGCTTGTGGCCACCAGGTGACAGCAGAGTCAGGACGCGAACCTAAGAAGCGCATTTAGGGCCAGAGTGATTAGTCTAGCGGGGAGGGCACTGGCCTTGCAGGCCGGGCAGATCCGGAGTTTGATCCCTGGTACCGCATTAGGGTCTCAGGAGCACGGACAGGAGTGATTCCCAAGCGCAGAGCCAGGAATCAGCCCTGAGGTCTGCCAGGCCCTCACCAAAAAAAAAAAAAGAAGAAGAAACTTTGCTGTTTGTTTCAGATAAGGGGGGTCAGATGTTTCCCCAGGCCCAAGACGGCTAGGGAAGTGGGCTCTGTGACTCAGTCATGCCCCTGGAACCCGGAGGGAACCCCCTCTCCACTCTGGGGATTGGGTTTGGCTCAGGTAGTAGGACACCTTGATATTAAGTGAGTGGGGGCTGGAGCGATAGCACAGCGGGGAGGGCGTTTACCTTGCAAGAGGCCAACCTGGGTTCGATTCCCAGCATCCCATAGGGTCCCTCGAGCACCGCCAGGAGTCATTACTGAGTGCAGAGCCAGGAGGAACCCTTGAGCATGGCCAGATGTGACCTAAAAGGCAGAAAAAAAAAAAAAAACAACGAAATTACTAGTGAGTGTCTGCCTGCATACGAGGCTCATAAAACCACCAGCCCAGGTATTTTAATTTTGGGCAGGGGGGCTTTTTGGGTCACAACCAGCGGTGCTCAGGGTGAGTCCTGGCTCTGCATTCAGAAATTACTGCTGGTGGTGTGCGAGAGATCCTATGGGATGCCAGGGATCGAACCCAGGTTGGCCACGTGCAAGGTTAATGCCCGCCCTGCTGTCCCAGGGATCTCTTTCTGGGACAGGAATTTCTTTCTTTTTTTTTCTTTTTTTTTTTTTTTTGCTTTTTGAGTCACACCCAGCAATGCTCAGGGGTTACTCCTGGCTCTGCACTCAGGAATTACTCCTGGCGGTGCTGGGGGGACCCTATGGGATGCTGGGAATTGAACCCAGTCGACCGCGTGCAAAGCCCTACCCGCTATGCTATCGCTCCAGCCTCCCAGGGATTTCTTATTCCTGCTGAAATTCCTGGAACCTGCTCAAAAGCCCTGGAGCCCCGCCCTGAACCCCAGATTTAGAAATCCACCCTTGTAAACTTGTTGGTGCAGGTCCATTGGCCTCTTTAGAAGATCCCTGAGTCTTGCCCGGGAGGGCTTCAAATAAACCTGTTCCAGCCTGATTCTTTTCTTGGTCTCTGCCTTTTCTTTCCGTGAGTCCATCCCGGCCCTTCACACATGAGACACAAGCACAGAGTCTGACATCCTGCATCTCACAGCTGGGGAGAGGTTAGTCCCCGGGGGGGGGGGCCCATCATCCCTTTTTCAGGAGAAGCCACACCCAACAGTGCTCAGAGCTGACTGCTGGCTCTGTCCTCAGACCTTACTCCTGACAGTGCTCAGGGGATGGGATGGGATGCCGGGAACCGAACCCAGGTCAACTGCGTGCAAGGCAAGCACCCTTCCCTGCTGTCCCATGGTTTTGTACCCCCTCCTCCATTAAGCCCCCAGCCCTGCAGCTGTTCCTCCCCTTTGGTACTGGGGACTCTGCGGAACCTTCTGTCCACATGTCAACCAGGCGTTCTTGACTGTTGTAAAATTCTTACATAATCAGGGGGTCTGAGCAATTAGAAAGGGGATTCGAAAGTCATGGGGAGCCGGAGCGATAGGCCAGAGGGAAGGGTACTGGTCTCACACGCTGCTGATCCGAGCTCCATCCCTGGCCTCTCATAGGGAGAGTTCCCCAGAGAGCCCTCATCCCGGGAAGTGAACCCTGAGTGCAAAGCCAGGAGTGAGCCCTGAGCCCAGACTAAAACCCAACAACCACTATCAAAAAAGGACTCTGTGGGGGGGCTGGAGCGATAGCACAGCGGATAGGGCGTTTGCCTTGCACGCGGCTGACCCGGGTTCGATTCCCAGCATCCCATAGGGTCCCCTGAGCACCGCCAGGAGTGATTCCTGGGTGCAGAGCCTGTGTATTGCTGAGTGTGACCCAAAAAGAAAAAAAAAAAAAAAAAAAAAAAGGGCTCTGGCATCATCTGGTCTACCCGGCCTCTCAGGAGAGGTTTTCTAATAAAACACCTGTCCCCACTGTCCCCATACACAGTAGAGCCCTTCGGTGGCCAGCCACAACACACACCCTTCCCTTCCCGCCTGTATCAAGCTCATTAGAACCCACCCTTGGGAAGCTGCTTCCCCCCCCACCCTTTTTGGGTCACACCCAGCAATACTCCTGGCTCTGCACTCAGGAATTACTCCTGGCGGTGCCCAGGGGACCCTATGGGATCCTGGGAATCGAACCCGGATTAGCTGCGTGCAAGACAAACGCCTTACCCGCTGTGCTATTGCTCTAGCCCCAGGAAAGCTGAAGTCTTGACGAACCAGGGAAGGGGGTCCAGGAACCCACTGGACGGTGCCGGGAAGTCCCTGGTGTCAGAACAGAGGATCCAGGCGATAAGATAAGCTAACAAGAAGGCAGGTACTAGAGAGACAGTCCAGGGCTGAGGGCACTTTGCTTTGCATGTGAATGACCCTGGTTTGATCCCCTCGTTGGATAGGTCCCTTGATACTACAGGAGCGAAAGTGTGCAGTGATAGGTCAGTTTAAATCTCCGCCCATGGAACGGGCAGCCAATCAGAATACATAGCGCGATGACTGGGGGTGGGACCAGCAGCAGATGAAAGGAAGGCCCCAGGTCCCTCCCTCTCCCCCTCCCCTTGGAACATCTACCTTTTTTTTTTTTTTTTTTTTGCTTTTTGGGTCACACCTGGAGATGCCCAGGGGGGTTACTCGTGGCTCTACACTCAGGAATTGCTCCTGACGGTGCTCAGTGAACCATATGGGATGCTGGGAATCGAACCCGGCTATTGCTCCAGCCCCATGGAACATCCGCTTTTGTGCTAACACCCAAAGCACTGCCAGGAATGATCCCGGAGCACAGAGCCAGTTGTGACCCTGGAGCACAGAGCCAGGAGTCAGCCCTGAGCACCAGAGATGGTGTTTCCAAGGCAGGAGAAGCCAGAGGAATTCAAGCACCTGGATCAATTCTCATCACTGGGACCTAATATTTCAGCTGCTCCTCCACACTGCCCATTTCTAAGAACTCTTGAGGTGTGAAGTCCCAGAGTTGGGGGGTCACAAGGACCAGGGTGTTGGACCTCCGCCCTACCCGCTCCGACCAACCTACTTTCCCCTTTTTCCCAGTTGGAGGAGGAAGAAACGGAAGGGAGGGACAGAAAAAAAAATGAGGAAGTGGGTTGTTTACAAAGTGGCCTCCAGGAATGTTGTGAAACTTTGGAGCTGAAAGTTCTAGAAACCCTGGGGGCTAGAGACGAGGGGCTCCTTCCAGCCTTGCACAGTGCATCCTTCGGGGCTCCTTCCAGCCTTGCACAGTGCATCCTTCCTGGGCTGAGGATCTGTGGCGCATGGGGGTGGGGGTGGGGCAGCTCTGGGCCGCTGCTGTCTGCGGACTCTTAATTCGAAATCTGTAGGTGGAGTGGGGTTGGGATCACCCCATCCCCCAGCTTTGGGAAGGCTGAACATGGGGACTCTGCCTTCTCCCTTCTCCAGCTGGGCAGCTGCTAAGGAGGCAACTATCTCTTCCCCTTTCTCCAGCTGGGCCGCCTCCTGAGAGGCAAGCAGAAGTCTGTGGAAGCCTTCCAGCACCCTCCACCCTTATAAAGCGCCCCCAGCCCTCCGGAGTCAGTTGTCTGCAGCACCATGGGGCGCAGCTGGGCGTGCGTGGTGGCTCTGATCCTCCTAGGAGCAATCGGATGTGGTGAGTGGGCCCTGGCCAGAGATGACAGCCCCTTGGGGCAGACCCCTCTGTCAAACAGAACTGCACTCCTGGTTCCAGTAGATGGGCACGGAAGCCCAGAGCCCAGGAATTCTCAAAAGCCTGAATCTGAAAGCCAGGCTTTCTGCCTCTCTTGTTTTTTAAAGGAGATTTTTCCCCCCATTATTTACTTTATTATTATTTGGGGGTGGGGGGGGCGGAAGACACACCCGGCAGTGCTCAGGGGTTTCTCCTGGCTCTGCACTCAGGAATCACTCCTGGCGGGCTCAGGGGACTCTGTGCAGTGTCGGGGATCCACCTGGGTCGGCAGGGAGCAAGGCAAACACCTTTCCCGTTTTTCCCATGTCTCCGTTCGCCCATCAGGCTCTCTGGAAGGGCTGTTCGGATGGGACTTTGCCCCAGACCCCAGGATTCTCTGTCTTTGGTTCTTCTTAGACTTGGGCTGCGCCAAGTCCTCACAGCGCCCCCTTTCCTCCCCCAGCGACGCAGCCCCGGGGTCGCATCCTGGGCGGCAGCGAGGCCCAGGCGCACGCGCTGCCCTACATGGCCTCGGTGCAGGTGAATGGGAGTCACCAGTGCGGCGGCTTCCTGGTGAACGAGTACTGGGTGATGAGCGCTGCGCACTGCTGGGATAACGAGTGAGCGAGGGGGCGGGGCTCACGGCGTCAGGGGCGGGGCTGGTGGTGCTAGGGGCGGGCCCGGACGGAGAATTGGGCGGGGCTGATGATGTTGGGGCGGGGTGTAGTGCTAGGGGCGGGACCAGGTGGAGCCCTAAAGGATCGGGGCGGGGCTGCCGGTGTTTGGGCGGGGCCAGGCGGAGCTGAAGAAAATAGGGGCGGGGCCTGATGGGATCGGGGCGGGGCTGACTCGTTAGGGGTGGGGCTTAAGACGTTAGGGGCGGGACCAGGAGGAGCCGGGAAAAATCGGGGCGGGACTGGTTGAATTAGGGCGGGGTCGGACAGCGGTTGGGGCGGGGCTGACTATGTTAGGGGCGGGGCGAGGTGAAATTTGGGCGGGGTAGAAATAGGGGGTTGTTAGGGGCGGGGTCTACATGATTAGGCGAGTCTGGATCCTGCCCCCCGTCCCACCGTCCCCCCAGGACCCAGTTGCAGGTGCTTCTGGGCGCCCACTCGCTGTCGCAGCCGGAACCTTCCAAGCGTCTGTATGATGTTCTTCGCGCAGTGCCCCATCCGGGCAGCGGATCGGACACCATCGACCACGACCTCCTCCTGCTGCAGGTCTGCGGCCTGCAGTTCCCACCGTCCCACTGAGTTCCATCACCGTGTTGCGCAAACCCCGCCCCAGCTCCCACCCGGTCCCACCGAGACCCGCCCAGTCCTTCCTGCGGCTCGTTGGCCCCGCCCCCTAAGAGCCCCGCCCTCCCGCCGAGCCCCGCCCCGTGTTCCGGGATTCCCTGCACCCCTAGACCCGACTGTCGCCTTCTCTCCCACCAGCTGTCTGAAAAGGTCGAGCTGGGCCCCGCTGTGCAGCCTCTGCCCTGGCAGCACGATGCCCGCCTCTTAGAGGCCGGCACCATGTGCGACGTGGCCGGCTGGGGCGTGACCAGTTACGCGGGCAGCCGACCTGACCGCCTGCAGTACCTGAGCCGGCCGGTGATGGACCGCGCCACCTGCAACCACCGTCTCTACCACGACGGCACCATCACGGAGCACATGCTGTGCGTGGAGAGCAACCGCCGCCGGGACAGCTGCAAGGTGGGCAGAGCCGGGCGGGAGGGCGGGGCCTGGGAAAATGGCAGGTAAGGGGCTGGCCTTACGCGCGGCTGACCCCAAGTTCGATCCTGGGCACCCCATATTGTTCCCCGAGCCCCACCAGGAGTGATCCCTGAGCACAAAGCCAGGAGTCAGTCTGAGCACCGCCAGGTGTGGTTCAAAATCCAACAAAAGAAGAAAGCAAGCAAGCAAGCAAGCAAGCAATCGGCAGCTAGGGGTCCTGAGAGATAGGTTAGGCGCTTGCCTTGCACGCGGCCAACCCTACTCGATCCTTGGCACTACACATGGTCCCTGAGCCCCCACCCAAGGAGTGACCCCTGAGCACAGAACCAGGAGTAAGTCCCGGGCTCCGCCGAGTGTGGCCCCAACAGCATCCTCCCCGCAAAAGAAAAGAAACTAGCAGGTAGGTAGCGGATTGAGCCTGTAGTGAAGGTCAGCAGAACAGTGGCCAGCGAGGCAGCCGGGACATGCGCAGAGAGGGTCAGAGGGAACCCTGGGGTGGGCGTGGCCGTACGGGGGCGGAGCCTTGAGGATGACGCGTCCTTCCCCTGCCGGCCCCTCCTCCCCAGGGCGACTCCGGAGGTCCACTGGTGTGCGGAGGCGTGGCCGAGGGCGTGCTCACCACGGGCTCGCGCGTCTGCGGCAACCCTAAGAAGCCCAGTATCTTCACGCGTGTGTCCACCTACGTGGACTGGATCAGGAGCGTGGTGAACGAGAACGCCACCGTCTCGCCGGCGGAGTGACCCGGGCAATAAAAGCCCCGCAGCAGCATCTGGTCCTGCGTCAGGGTCACTGTGCTGGGCACGCGCTGGCGGGTCGCGCGAAGCCCCCGCCCCCTCACCCAACCCCCACCCCGGAGAAGGGACGTGGGGCCGCTGGTAAAAACCCGAGGTTTGAGGGTTTGGCTGTTGCACGCCTCGGCCACAAGGTGGCGCCCTTAGCCTCCCCTGGGAGTGAGAGAGGAGCGCCCCCCCCCCCACCTCCAGGCCCAGGTTTTTGGGAGGGTCGCGGGTGGGTCCAGTTAATGTCCTGCACAGCTGGTCCTCGCATGTGATCACGCAGTGGGCACAGGGGTGGGGTGGGCCTGGTCTGCTGCGAGCTGAGATGGAGGACCGGAGTGAGGCCAATTGTTGGGATGCCTGCAATCGAACCTGTTTCTGCCCGTTGCAATACCAACGCCCTCCCCACTGTCCTATCGCTGTCTCCTCCCAGTTGACTTGGGGCCTGTGTCCCAGAGAGGGAAACTGAGGCACAGAAAACCAGCCTCTGAGCCCTGAGGTCACAGACTCTCATTCAAGCCCACATGCCTCTGTGCTCAGGGCCTGTGCCAGGGGAGTGAGACTCGCTACATTGGGCCAAAGACCAGCCGGGAGGCGCTGGCCTTGCACAGGGCCGACCAGGGTTTAATCTCTGGCACCCCACAAAGTCCCCCAAGCACCACCAGGAGCCCTGAGCACTGCTGTCGCCCCCGGGTCTCCCAGGTATAGGGGTCGTGTCTGCCCCCCTCCCTGACTAGCAGCAGTTTCATCCTGCAGGATCCGGCCTCGCTCCAGCCCCCCTCCTCCTGGCCCTTCCAGAACCTTCTAGAATGATCATGGCCAGGCGCTGTGGGCACCACAGGGGTAGGGGTGGGGGTCCTAAGCGGGGAAGGATGGGGCTGGAGCAACAGCACAGCGGGGAGGGCGTTTGCCTCGCATGTGGCTGACCAGGATTCGATTCCCAGCATCCCATGTGGTCCCCTGAACACCACCAGGGGTAATTCCTGAGTGCATGAGCCAGGAGGAACCTCTGTGCATCGCCGGGTGTGACCCAAAAAAAAGCAGAAACAAAACGAAACTAAGTGGGGAGGGATTCCAGGTGGGACCCCAGGGGAAAACGGGCCTGGGCAATAAAGCGAGGGAGATGGATGGAGATGGACGTGGGAGCCCCTCCCTCGTGCCCAGGCGCACCACCTGCCAGCAGCGAGAACACAGCAGGAGCCCAGGGACCCTGGTCTTTATTGGGCCCTGGGATGGAGCTGGGACTGACCGCACAGTGGGGAGGGAGCTCGCCTAGCACGTGGCTGACGGGGGTTCGGTCCACAGCCCCCCGCGAGGGACCCCGAGCCCCAACAGTGATCCCAGAGCACAGAGTCAGGAATCAGCCCCCAGCAACATCAGGTGTGCCCCCCCCAATTCCCGGATATCAAAATATAATAAAATAGAGGGGCGGACACCAGACCCCGCTGGGCCCGGGGCTGGGAGTGGAGCTGTCGAACAGACCCGGGGGGTCCGCGTCGGGGCAGAGCCACGCCCAGCGCCCGGGTCAGGGGCAGCTGAGGGGCAGGCGCCGCCACAGCCCCCCACACAGGCAGTTCTTGATCCAGCGCTGTTCCCATTGCTTGACCGCCGTCGCCTTGTTGGGGGAGTGGAGCATGGTGACGCAGCCACACCTGTGGGGACAGGGCACGCGGCTGGGGTCCCCCTTGCCACTCCCAACCCCCCAGTGTCCGCAGAGACCCCAGGAGCCCCCACTAGGGGAGGGGCCCTCCATTCCCGTGAGTTCCGTCCCCCCCACCGTGGGGGCCCCGGGTCCCACCGCACTTCCCCTGGGGCCCGGCCCGGGTCGGGGCACACACCTGGTGCACGCCTTGCACTCCTCTGTGGGGTGAGCCCCCAGGTGCAGCCGCCGCAGGTGGTCGATCTTGGGCTGGCCCGGAGCCCTGCAGAGCAGAGGGGGTCACGGGTCCGCACGGGGGTGGGGGTGTCTCTGCCCACCAGGGTGCAACGGGGGGGGGGGGGTGCGCATCTGTGCCTGTGTGTGTCGTGCTGTGCCCATGAGCACGCCGTATGTCTGTGTAGGAGTCGTGGGCCCCTTGTGTGGGCCCCCAGGAGTCCAGGGTCACCCCGGGAGCCTGGAAGGATTGTCTGAGGGCCGGACCGGGCTGGGCTGCAGTTTCCAGTCCAGTCTCTCTTCCGGGAACCCCAAACGCGGGGAATCGGCAAATCTCCCCGAGACCAGCGGAAACCTTGCTGGTCAGGGCACCTGGGGTCCAAGGGAAGGGGACTCTGGGTCTGTCCCCCATGTCTGGCCACGTGGAATCTGGGCTCCCGGCACACGGTTTAACAGTCAAGTCCCAGCCCCATGGAGCGACAGCACGGTGGGGGAGAGCACTGGCCTCGCGCAGAGCCGACCAGGGTTCGATCCCCGGCACGCCAGAAGGTGCCCTGAGCCTCACCAGGAGTGATCCCTGATCACAGAGCTGGGAGTCAGCCCTGAGCATCGCCAGGTGTGGCCCCTCCAGAAACAAATCGACAACAAAAAAGCCCCAGCCCCGACTGTGGGTTGGGAGGGCGGCCTGGGTGGGGGGCAGGGGGAGGTGTTGCCCCTGACTTTGGAATCCCCCTGCCTGGGGATCCAGGTGATCCCACACAGCCTGGCCGACTGGGAAGGATGAGGGACCGAGGGGACCACGGCTGGAGGGTGGTCACTCCGCCCCAGGGGCTGGAGAGGTGGAGGGGAACCTTCCAGAAGCTCACCCACCTGACCAGGCCTTCCAGCTGCAGGGCAGCGGCGCCGCGGGGCAGAGCAGGCGCCCGGCCAAACTGCAGCCGCAGGGGCTGCTTGGGCTGCAGGCGGCTGACCAGACCATCGCTGACGGGCAGCCAGTCCAGGTTGGGGATGAGCAGCTGGCTAGGCAACAGGCAACACTCATCCAGAAGTGCTTCATCGGGCTCGCTGCTGGGGCCCTCGTCACGGCCTGCGGCGGGGGAAGCATGGAGGGAGACGGGCTGGAGAGAGATGACAGCTGAGAAGGCGCTGCCCGTGGCCAACCCGGGCCCGGTCCCTCCCCAAGGAGAGTCAGGAGTAAGCCCCAGCCAACCCCAGGGCTCAGTGAGCACCGACACTGAACGCGGAACAGGACCGAGCTGGCTGGTTGCTCTCCGAGCTTATATTCTGGTGGGGGGATCAGAGGGGGGGGCTTGTATTTTGGTAGGGGGATGGATGGGTGATCTTACAGCAGATCCAGAGCTTGGTGAGCAGGCGGAAGAGCAGGGACATGCTGTCCTGAGTGTCAGAGGTGGCCGTGTACACGGGCAGGCAGCTGGGCTTCAGGAGCCCCCAGATGCGGATGACAACCATGAGCTCCCGCAACATGCCCAACGAGGTGCCGTCACGCAGGAAGCTGTGACCAGGCCGCAGCGGGGAGCCCTGCAGGGACAGGCATGTGTGTGTGTGTGTGTATGTGGTGGGGGGGGGGGCTGGCCAGGAGCTGGGGCTGGAGGGTGAGCAGCGGGGGGGGCGCGTGGGGGCGGGCGCAAGGCGGGGCGCGCACCTGATTGGGCAAGCTGGCCAGCAGGTAGAGCACGATGTCGCCCACCCACTGCAGCAGCTGCTGCAGCGCCTGCAGCGTGTTCATGTCCAGCACGAACTCCTCCGTCTTCAGGTTGATCATGACCTTGTCGATGTCTGCAGGGAGCCTCGGTCACGGGGTAGCCCGGCCGCCCAGCAGCCCGCGCCGATGGGCACCCTCGAAAGCATCCGCGTCTCCATCACCCTGACCCCGCCCCCGTTAGGTTCCCGCCCCACCCCCTGCCGCGGGTCCACCCACCGACGTCCGTGATCTTGGAGCAGATCTCGGTCAGGCGGTCCCCGGGGCTCTTGTCGGGCGTGTTGAGGAAATGCGGGCGCAGCAGTGACTTGAGCGTGGAGCTGATGGCGATGAGGAAGAGCTTGGCGTGGTAGTCGCACACGCGCGTCACCGTGCAGGGCGACAGCTTGCACAGGGAGGCCTTCATGGCCAGGATGCGGGTGGACAGGACCTGGGCCACAGCGGGGAGGGGGGACAGCACAGGCTCGCGGGGGGTGACCCCTCAGGACGCGCCTTGATTTTGTCTTTGTGGGGGAGGGCCACCCCTGGCGAGGGTTACTCCTGGCCCTGTGCTCAGGGATCACTCCTGGTGTTCAGGGGACTCTATGGGGTGGCAGGGATCGAACCCAGGTCAGCCGCATGAAAATCAAGTGCCTTCCCTGCTGTACTCTGGCTCTGGCCCTGAGGATGCGCCTTGTACTGGGCCAGCTGCTCTGGGCCAAGGGCCAGCTGTGGCTGTCACTTGGGAGTGGAGGCCCCTGGGATGAGGGTTGGAGGCCACGGAAGTGCTGAGTGAGCTGAACCCCCTAAGTCTACAGAGCTGGGGGTGCAGGATCTGGTAGCTAGGGGTGAGTAAATTATAGTGGTGCCTGCAAACAGCTGGTGCCATTAATATGCACATCTGCAGTTGTCACTGCACCATCCTGCTACTTCCTGCAGCCCTTGGGGTGCCCCCTTCCCTCCCCCATCCCTGGGTTTCTTGGAGGCACTGCCGGCGGGACCCCCTCATTGTATTTCCTAACCCTCCTCTTGGCCCCCCTCATGGTGGGCCGGCAGGTCTCACGGCCCGTAATTGTCTTGGTGGCCCCGGGACCAGGGTAGATGTCCTGGGGTGGGATGTCTAGGGTTCAGGACGGAGGGCAGATGGTCTAGTGGGCAGTGCAGGGACATCTGGGAATGGGGTTGCTGGACAGCCTGGTGGCTGGGCATGTCCATCCAGCATTCAGGAGGGAGGGCAGGCAGGGGAGAGGCGCACATCCGGGAATGAAGGGTGGGGAAAGCCTATGCAGATGAAGGGACAGAGCTGTAATTTATAGTAATGGGATGGGTGTGTCACCCGTGGGCGTGGCAAATGTATGTAAATGAAGGGGCGGTGCTATTCCCTATGGTAATAACGGAGGTTCCTAGGTCAGTGGGCGGGGTAGATCTCTGTAGATAATGGGCGTGGCTATCTATGGTAATAGAGTGGGAGAGGAAGTCTGTAGCTGAAGGTGCGGGACCATCGCCCATGGTAATTGTGTGGGTGGGGACGTGTATGCAAATGAAGGGCGGACACTGCATATGGTAATAGGGCGGGCGGGGACATGCATGCAGATTAAGGGGCGGGGCACTGCCTATGGTAATAGGGTGGGAGGGGAAGCCTATGTAGATGAAGGGGCGGGGCCACTGCCTACAGTACTAGAGTCACCCAGTGGGCGGGAAAGGTGGGGCAGAGGGTGTGCATGGGAGGGTGAAGGTGGGAGGGGCCGGCCCACCTGCTGCAGTGCGGCGTTCTGGCGCGTGTACTCCTCGTGCAGCCGCTCCACCAGGCTCTGCACCATGCCAGGCTGCACGTGCAACAGGATGTCCCACCAGTCGTAGCCCGTCACCATGCAGTACTCCAGCAGGAAGAGCAGGTGCCGCAGTGCCAGGCTCACGTCCAGTGCGTGGCCCATGGAAGGCGAGATTCGCAGCATACTGAGCTGGAGGGGGGGGGCGGCGAGGAGAGGAGGGGAGTCTCCAAGTCATTCTCAACCCTGCCAAGGGGCGGTCTGCGGGTGGGCTGTGTGGTGGAGCTCCCGAAAACGGACTCAAGAAGCCTCACGACTCTAGCAGAGTCCATCTGGGGCAGGGCAGGGCCGGGAGGACGGCGATGGGAGGTGCATGGGGCTAGGAGGTGCCGAGGGCGGGGCCAGGAGCTGGGGCGTGGCCAGGAGCTGCCGGGAGGGCGGGGCTTGCACGCAGGGACCCACCCACCTTGCCATGGTTGTCAATGCCCACGAGGGCCAGGGAGGTCCAGGAGAGCTGCATGGCCTTGAAGTGCACGGCTGGCCCCGTAGTGCGTGGGCGCTTGAGGGCGGGCTCGTCCATGGGGCGCGGGGCGGCCGAGCTGTAGAAGACGGCCATGGACTGCAGCGAGAGCCGGTGCACGATGTGGACGCTGCCGTCGTGGAAGGCCAGGGCCAGCCCTGGGGGCGCGGGGCAGCTCAGGCGGTGTCCCTCCCACCCCTCCAACGCCCTCTGCTCACAGCTCCCTGTTGGAGGCATCCCCTGGTGGCCCTGTCCCAGGCACAACTGCCGCCAGAGACACGGTGGGCGGGGGCCCTGAGGAGGGGCCGCAGGGAGCAGGGGCAAAGTCCCCCGCCTGGGAACCAGACAGAGCAGGGGTGGGGGCTTCGGGCTTTGTTTTCTAACTTTTGGCTTGGGCCACACCCACCTGGCTCAGCGTTTGGGGATTTGGGGATCCTTCCTGGCAGGGCTGGGGATACTCAACACGGTGTGGCAGGGATTACAAGGCAAGCGCAATAGCCCCTCTATGATCTCTCCGCCCACCCCATTTGAGTTTTGGGGGGCCGTATCCAGTGTTGCTTGGAGGCTACTCCTGGCTGCCTGCTTGGTCCCGGCAGTGCTCAGGGGCCCATGCGGTGCTGGGGATCACACCCAGGGCCTCCAGCCTGCAAAGCCTGTGTTCTGGCCCGTGGGCCACTCCCCCACCCCCGACTCTCCTGTGTGTGGTGCTAGGGATGGAGCTGGGGGTCTCACACATGCAGGTGCTTTGCTGGGGATCCACCTGCCGGGCGCCCTGGTACGTTTCTGACTTGTCTGGACCTCGGAGGGTGTGGCCTGGAGCTGGGGGAACCCCAGGAGTAGAGGCCTTGGTGCTGGGCGGGACAGGAGGCCTTACCGAGGCCGGGGAAGAACTGGGTGTCGTTGGCCACCTTCAGGTCCGTGTTGGTGAGCGAGATTGGCAGCTTGGGCAGCGCCACGGCGGACACGCGTTCCAGGTCATTGGTGGCCGACAGGATCCGCCATTTGAGAATCATGGGCTGCTTCTCACCAACTGAAAAATGGGCCCGAAAGTGGGGAGGTGACAGTCAAGGCATGCAGGGCCTGGGTGAGCCTGCAGGGGGCGCCAGCGCGTCACAGCCCCTAGGGAAACCGTGCCTTCTCTGGTCTTGGCCCACCATCCTAACCCCAGGAGGGGCTCCTTGGCCTCCTTGCCCTACACAAGGTTTTCCAGAGGATTCTGTGGCTTTGAGGACAAATGGCCTCCTTGCTGCCCCCACCCTCCCCAGCAGCTCTAGCTCCAGCCTCTACCCCCGGCCCTTTGCACTGACCCCTATGAGTAGCTTGAGGTTGGATGATCAGGCGGAGACCCCCTACCCTGCATTCCCCAGCCTCTTCCCGGTGCAGGGGATACTTGCTGGCAGAGGGCAGCCCAGGGCAGGGGGTGGGGTGGGGGTGGGGGTTACTCACCCACAGGGGAGATCTGCTGGAAGATGTTGTTCACCGGGAGCCCCTCCTTCCGCAGGGACCAGCACTCCACGATGCTGCTCGTCTGACTGGAGGCGCACAGGAGAACCTGGACCAGAAGTCGGAAATGAGGAGGGGCGGGGTCATCAGAGAAGGGTGTGGCTACAGGGTGGGCGGGGTTATCGAGGGGGCGGGGCCTCTCAGCGAAGGCAGGGGCGGGCCATCCTGGGAGAGGGGCGGGGCGAAGCAGGGCCCTATCCTATGGGAGCTGCTTCCAGCCCTGGGTCTGCAAGATCAGCCGACCGCTCCCTCTGACACCCATAGGCTCAGCCCAACTAGCTCCCCGCCAGCCACGACTTTTGATTGTTTAAGGGGCCAGTGGTCGCCCCCCAGAGGTGCTAAGGGGACCACATGATGCCAGAGGCAGAATTTCTTTTTTGCTGGGGAGGTCACACTGGGCAGTGCTCTGGGCTTACTCTAAAGATCAGGGTTTAGGGGCTGGAGAGATAGCACAGCGGGTCGTTGCCTTGCACACGGCCGACCCGGGTTCGATTCCCAGCATCCCATATGGTTCCCTGAGCATGGCCAGGAGTAATTCCTGAGTGCAGATCCAGGAGTAACCCCTGTGCATTGCTAGGTGTGACCCAAAAAGCAAAAAAATAAATAAATAAAAAATAAAAAAAAATAAAGCTCGGGGTTCAGGGAACCATAAGGGGTGCCAGGGATTGAACACCGGTCAGTTGTGTGCAAGGCAAGCGCCCTCCCTGCTGTACTATAATCCCATCCCCTGGAATAATTATGAAAGGCTCTGGCACGCTAAACCTGCACTGAGTCCTCTGAGTCCTTTCCCTGCTCCTCCTCCCCCCTCCTGGCATTGTTTGACGCAGTAAGGATCACTGGGAGAAACTGGGGTAGGGTGGGGGACAACGTGAGAAAAAATGAGAGATTGGGGGCTGGAGCGATAGCACAGTGGGTAGGGTGGTCGCCTTGCATGTGGTCGACCCAGGTTTGATTCGCAGCATCCTACATGGTCCCCTGAGCACTGCCAGGAGTAATTCCTGAGTGCAAGGTCAGGCCTGTGCATAGCCAGATGTGACCCAAAAAAACAAAAACAAAAACAAAAACAAGAGATTGTGGGGACCCAGACACATTTGGGGTTCTGTTGATGCCCAAGATATTCCAGGACCGGGGGCCATGCGGTAGGGGGTACAGGGTCGGGAGAGACCTGCAACTGGGGACCTCAGAGCCTCCTGAGGGGTGAGGAGAGGGTCTGGGTCAGAGTCAGGGAGGCTCTGGAATGATCGACAGCACACTGAGGAGGACGCTGGCCTTACATGTGGTAGCTGACCCAGGTTCGATCCTGGGCATCTCAGAGGGTCTCCTGAGCCCTGCCTGGAATGATCCCTGAGCACAGAGCCAGGAGTCAGCCCCGAGCACCGCCGGGTGTGACCCGGTCACGAAATAAAAAGCTGTGCTGGGGGCTGGGAGGCTGGAGGAAAGGTCCCACCCGGGAGGGGCAGCCTCAGAAGCTGGAAGGGGCCGAGGGCGGGGTCCCCGGGGGCCGACCTGCTCTGACATGTCCCGGGCTAGGAACTTGAGGTGGGTGATGGCGGGGAACTTGTCCTTGCGGTTGAGGTCCGTGGTGCAGCGCATGAAGAGCGAGGGCAGGATCTCGGTGTCGATGCGGCACTTCTCGCTGACCACGCTCACGCATACCTTGTAGAACTGCACGGGGGACGCGCTGCTGCCATCCGCCGTGGCCACCACGATGTTGCCGCCACCCGTGAAGGCGATGTCGGCCAGGGCCACGCGGCCCCGCAGCCGGCACAGGCTCTCGGTGGACGTCAGCACCTGCCCGCTGGGCTTCAGCAGGGACACGGTGACCAGCCCACTGACCGTCACCGCAATCCAGCCCTCCATGGGCTTCCCGCCAAACAGCGTGAGGGAGGGCGAGAACTTGACGCGGGAGAACTTCTCCCCGAAGCTGGAGGCGCCCGACTGCAGGAAGGGGGGGGGGGTGGGGGAAAAGAGGGGGAGTCAGGGGCTGGAGCGATGTTTGCCTTGCACGCGGCCAACCCGGGTTCGATTCCCAGCATCCCATAGGGTCCCCCGAGCACCGCCAGGAGTAATTCCTGAGTGCGTGAGCCAGGAGTAACCCCTGAGCATCGCCAGATGTGACCCAAAAACCAAAAAAAAAAAAAAAAAAGAGGGAGAGTCACTGGACAAAGCT